CGAACACGTAGCAATACGAGAATCATAGCACATTCGAATCTGATTAGAAATCGATCAAACTTCGCTCCGCCTTTTTTCATCCGAGCAGTACACGTGTGTTGACAACAATGTGAAAGTTCAGAGAAAATTTTTGGGAATTTCGCGTAAATTTTTAACAAATTTATAATCAGTGAAAGGAAGGAAAGGTAACATATATATTCCTCCAATATTGGAGTTCCACCCTAGTGATATGAAAAACACTAGTGAAAAACATATTTCACGACTACTGCATAGCGCTAATATCCGTTTCTCACGTTTTTCACGGAGTTTTCACGCCACTTCACGTAAAACGGGTAAAGTTCATTCGTCCCAAAGTGAAATAAAATCAGCAAAAACTAACATATAAAATCGTCTTCAGCCCGGAACTCAACAGTGAGCGATGAACTCACCAAAAATACCAAAAGTTCCCCAGAGCTGATCTGAACATCCAAACAAGATGGGGAAATTATAAAATCAGAAATTTTCAGGAATTTGAAATCCCAAAATCGATCAATATGAGTGTATGAAATTTAAAAATTTAAGTTTAAGGGCCAATAAGAACAGAGTTTTGAAACTCTTGGAAAATTCCGCCGACACGAAGTACGATCGAGCCAAGCCACTTACGGAGCTTTCCTCAGCTTTACTCCACTTAGTAGTTCCGACAAAGGCACAGTGAGAAGCTCGTCGAACGAAGCAGTAGTGATCTCCTGAGAACTTTGTATTTTTCCGACGACAGTGTTTGAATAAATGTTCGTTTTCCTCAGCTGAGTCCACAAGTTTCCTCGCTGATTATTAAGTTGAAATACAAATTCGTATGAAAGTGTACAGAGGTCATTGAGACTTCCCTAAATTTCCTCAAAGCTTCGACAAATGCCACCTACACATGTAGCTGACCATATGCATATTTTTCCGCGCCGTTCGAAGAATCGTTCCGGAGAAATTTCCCACGATGCTTGCTGTATTTGCTTATACACTCTACAGAACATCACGTTCTGTTTCGTGAGAATACTCTCGGGTTCACAAAAGTGTGTGAGAAGGGGAAAACATTTTCGTATGTTCAGCAAAATGACAAGTCGTTGTGATAGAAACAATCCTTTCGTGTTTCCTACCACACCTTGAAAACTTCCTAGCCGCAGAACTGGCACCGCAATTTCGAAAACCACGCGCCTCCAATTAGAAGTGGGCAAAAACTACGGTTACGGTACGGCCCACTCTATCCGCATTGGAGGCGTCAATTTCCCCCACGATTTAGCATCAACACCTATCGAAAACGCCCTCCAAACTGTAGCTTACCACAGCCGTTTTGGTCCCCAGTGATCTCTCCAACACTCTATGTTTCACCAAATCAGCAGTCCACCAGCCGACCCCTCCCACTCCAAATGACATAAACGTAGCAACGCCCGCTCCCCGTGCCGATTCAGCGATAGCTTTCGCTTTCGCGAAATCGAACCCGATATCGATCGACACCGTACTGAACTTTCTAATGTCAAAACTATTCTCATCACTGACCGTAACCGTAGCCAATGGGTTCATCTCACGTAGCGATACCGCTGAGGCTTCGGCGATCGTTTTATACGAAGTAAAATCTGTCGAAAATTTTCGAAAAAAAACCGGAAAAATTGACCTACCTTTCGGGATGAGGAAATTCCACGTCCGAACTTCTTCAGTAACAACACGGTCGTCAACAAGCGTAATATTGGCGCCCGCCAGGAGAATGTTCTTAGCGACTTCGACGTTGATAGCAGAAAGACCAAATATTAACACCGTGCTGGACTTCAACCGACTAAAATGGCAAAGATACGCATTCAAATTCTTTCCTGTGCGCTGAATGAAAGATTCCACTCCACTGAAAAATACGAAAAAAATCCATTGAAATTATTTCCAAAAATCCTCACTGTGCGTTAAACTGATGACTTCACTCCACTGAGAAAAAATTCTTCGAAATAAATCCCAAAATTCTTGTCTGTGTGGTAGACTGAAAATTATACTCCATTGAGAGATACGAAACACGTCCAATAAAATCAATTCAAAAATCTTCCCTGTGCGGACAACAAAAGATTCTCTTCAAACTCACCTCTGAGCATTCCGTCCCCACAGTCGTAGTTGGCGATCGTAAACCTCCTCCTCACTGGCCGATATTTTCCTCTACGACAGGCATGAATCACCGACTAC